GTACCGCCGTGATGTTATGCAAAACATTTTGTTTTACATGGATATTGGAACGCGAGTGAAGTATGCTACATAATAAATTATAATTTGGCATTCAAATACATAGCGAATATGGAAACATTTGATTTTGTGTCGAATGAGAGACCCAACGTTGGTTTCAGTTTCGTTTTAGCCTAAATGAATTCGTTTTGGTTTGTCGTTTATATTGCTATAGCTTCTTGTTTAATTCTTATTCTTTTCTAAATACTGTTAATTGAAAGGCTTTGTTGTGGAGTGAGGGGAACTAAAATAGCCTAGCTATGTTTACAGTGTTTATTATAATGTTTGTAAACATTTCGCGTCGGCATTAGGCCTATTTCTGAATGAAATAATAAAATGCGACTTATACTCGACTTGTTTTTTTTTTTTCTCTAAAAAACATAGCGTATTTTAACCATGCAGCAAACCTTTTTAAATATTTTGATAAATTACAGAAAAAAAAGACTTTTTAAACCGTTTAACTGATTGTATTAATCGGTCAAAATTTTTACGGTCAGTTAACGGTTAACCGGTTAAAACGAACATCCCTATTATAGAGGCATTCTAACTGCATTCTAATAGGCTTCATCATGCAATGAATGCTTTTGCACTCTCAAGACATGTTTTGTTTTTGTTTTAATTTTTTGTTTTTTGTTTATTTGCAAAGTCGCTGACATACTTGATAATGACAGCTAATGTGAATTAGAACAGGGTGGTCATTTCTGAATGGAACGCATCCCTCGTCTCTCTCTCAGTATCGTCCCTTGTCCTCACAGTCACACATAGTACAACAGCACAGTAATGTTATGTCAGGGGAATGTCTTTAAACTCTAATCAAGGAAATATCATACCTTATTATGTTGTCTTGTTTTTAAAGAAAGCCAGAAGTTGTGCTTAAAACATTTTGCGCAAAAAATGATGAAACCATGCGTGAGCTTGCACGCAGCTCGTTAATACTGAGCTCTGATTGGCCAGTTGCCGTTATTTAGTTTATGAATTATTATACGTAGAGAATATTAATATTTAATTTGCACTATATGTTTTAGGCCTACATAATAGGCCTAAATTAGGGCTTTCGAACTATAGGAACGTTTTTAGTTCTAGGAACTCCATTTGGAGGAACTAAATTAGCTCCTACTTCAGAGTAGGGTCTAAAATAATTCTATAGGAATTACCAGTGATGTAAGTGTACACTGATTGGTCAAACGCATACAAAACACCGGCTACCCGGCATTTTTTAAAAGCCATGTAAAAATACTTACTCCATGAACATGGAAAACAGCGATAACGGCATTTACCTGTTGTCTGCAGTGTTGTTCTTTTCTCAGCCTCGATATGTAACACTGCAAGTTGTCATAGGAGATTTCGTCTCTTAGCCCAACCTTTTGCTCTTTCAGTCACGTAAATTGTGCATTTACATTCTATCTCCGTTATCAACAAAACCCAAAACACACAACAAAAACAGCTCCGATCATGGCGTTCTCCATTTACCGGTTGTTGACGTATGTAAATACCGTGCATAAAGACATCGCTGTCGGCTGCTTCAAAGTTCTTGCTGCCAGTGCGAATGCAACCAGGAAAACGGCCCGAGGGAGAAATTGATTCTCTAGGAACCAACCTGCTGGCTAGTTCCTAGAACTACGCGGTGCAAAAGCCCCTAATGTTAATCTAAAAGGGATGGTAAGGTGGGATGGTGGTTTTACAGAGGGGATGATTTTTGTCTTTTTTTCTTTTCAACAAGGTGGACCCCCCCCAAGCATTGGAGGTACAGATGGAGGATGGAAACACACTGCATTATTACTAATAAATCAGCTTCTGTACCCTTTTCTGCACTGTCAATCAACACTGTAGTTTGCCGACAAGCTTTTTTCCTTTACTGCTGGGGAAAGGGTCTCTCAGGCCTTCCCGACAGCTTTTAATGTAACTCTCTTCCATGTGCATAAACTTTAATAAGCCATCAGACATGGACACCTGAGTGGCATCAGTGCAATTTGTTCCTGAATCATGTGATTAAGTCCGGTGTGTCTTGGAATGCAGGATTAATTGAAACGAACAGAGTCATTTGCTTTTAAAGTTCATAACGTTTAGCCTTTGTTGCAGATCAAAATGCTCTGTTGCTACTGCAACTTAGTGGCTTTTGTCTGTTGCAGTGGAGGAACGTTAACAGATGCTTTTGTTACAGTTTTACTGTCATTTGAAAAAGGAATAAAAATCTCACCAAAATATACAAATAGTAGCAGGCATAGGTCATTATTACATTTAAACTACAACTTCTCATTAGCTGGGTCAGTGTCTTAGCTTTGATGTGACGTGAACCTGACTTTTTTTCTTTTACCCAATACACTACTTTTAGTAAAAGTACCTTCATTGCTAATTGAGTGAAGCCATGAATGGTCTCCTGGCAAATTAAAGCAGTTAAGCTTGTGCCAATAACCAACTGGATCGTGCTTTACTGCAGCCTGAAGATACAGCTGACATTATACACTGACATATCATTGAATGGGTAGAGAAAAAAAACCCGTAATACTGGTGTGAATGTCTAATTTACATGTTGTTCATCTTCATCCTCTTCTGTCAGTCTCTGTTGTTTCCATCTACACTGTTCATATAGCACCATGAGACACAGTCAGTGTCTGCTTTGGTGTGACATGAATAAATATGCAAGACATGGTAATTTTTTTGTCTCAGAAATGGAAAAGAGACCATCTTTATGTTACTGGTTACAAATCCTTAGCATAGTTGGGGTAGAGTTAATGAAAAAAGATGAGCGATTTATTCACTTGGATGAACCTTGAATCCCTGTTACAATGTCATAACTACTTGCCATTAAGCACTGCTGTTTTTGTTCGTCTTGCTCGGTTTGTAAATATTTTTGTGTTCTGTATGTCTCTTGTCCTAATTGCTTGGTTTTCAGGCTTTTCCCCCCACTTTTTTGGCACAGAATTAAATAAATACATAAATAGGTATTTGCTACTTTTTATTTCACAATTCAGGCGTTTTGTCTCAGAATTGAGTGTTTATATCCTGCAATCCTGACTTTATGAAATGTCAGATCAAGTCACAATTACACAATGACAGGATCAGGGGGGATTTTTTTTTTCTTTTTTTCTTTTCAACAAGGGGGGCCCCCCCCCCCCCTTTAATTCGAGCCCTGTATATATGTTAATATATATCCAAGTCATTGTTTGTGTGAATGAATATATTGGACAATACTCATGAGCATCACACCATTAAAATTAGTCTAACATTTAGTACCTCTTTTTATAGGACATGGAGGTGAACAATACTGCAGTAAATGTCTCCATGAATAATGACCCCAATAACAACAACGCCAGCACCACCGACTCAGCCACAATAGGAAGTTTTGGACTTCCACGGTCCACTCTCATTAACCAGGATGTTAGTCTCCACCAGGCTTCACTTCCCAGCTGCAGCCAGGACTTTCCCCCATTGTTCAACCCCGAGTTGGATTCCATTGGGGTACAGCGGCCTACCTTAGTCAGGCTCTCTTCTAGCAACTCCTCCAACATCAATTCAACATTTGGAGCTACTAACTTGACCGGTCTCTTTCTCTCACCACCTCTAAACAGTACAACTAATCTAACCACCACTCCGGTGGTGCCAGATCCATTTTCCAGCCTGCTGGAAGAGTCTATGCTGGATGAAATTAGCCTGCTAGACCTTGCAATGGAAGAGGGTTTCAGCCAAGACCAGGCTTCTCAGCTCGAGGATGAGCTTGATTCAGACTCAGGTCTTTCACTGGACTCCAGCCATAGCCCAGCCTCTCCTAGCAACTCGGAGACATCCTGCTCGTCAGCCGCATCGTCTTCATCCACCTCGGCTACATTCTCAGAGGAAGGAGCTGTTGGATACAGCACCGATTCAGAGGCGGCCACAGCAGAAGCAGAGGAAGGAGCTATCGGGGGCTACCAACCGGAGTATAGCAAGCTGTGCCGCATGGGCTACCAAGATCCCTCTCAGTTCCATGGCATACCACAGTTGGAAAGTGTCAATCACAACCACACCTACAATCTACCACTGGCATCATCCTACTCTGAGCGCTCTCAACTGTCCACATCCTGCAGCAAGAAAGGCAGAGACAAGCAAATACAGCAGACAAAGCTCCAGCCACCACAAGACTGTGTTGACAGGCAGTCTAGCCGTGATGATCGTAGGGCGAGGGCCATGGACATCCCATTCTCCAATGACAAGATCATTAACCTCCCTGTCGAGGAGTTCAATGAGCTTCTGGCCAAGCACCATCTCAATGAGGACCAGCTTTCACTCATTCGCGACATCCGCCGACGTGGAAAGAACAAAATGGCGGCACAAAACTGCCGTAAACGCAAATTAGACACCATCCTCAAACTCGAGGAGGGCGTGCAAGACCTGCAACGCGAAAAGGCTCAGCTGCTGAAGGAGAAGATGGAATACTGTAAGTGCATCAGACAGACGAAGCAGAAAGTTCAGAGCCTTTCCCAGGAATTGTTCGCACAGCTGCGGGACGAGGAAGGCAGACCCTACTCGGCCAGCGAGTACTTTCTGCAGTACGGCCCTGATGGCGTTCTCCTCATGCCTCTTAACATGACCACAGAACAAAGCAACAAGCCTGACAAGAAGCAGAAGGACAAAAAGAAGTGAGGAACTCAAAGTGTTGCCCTTTTATTTTTCGCAAAGGCACTACCATACAAAGTATTTCGAAAGGCAAAGGAAGCCTTTTTCTTTGAAACAATTCTAGCGAGGAGAAGAAAATTGCATCATTGATTACTCCTCCTGCATTGGGTTTTCTTTGTTCCTTTTTGGTTCAGAAGTTTTCTCCTGAAAGCGGCATTAAAGCAGACGTGCTGTGTGTAGTACTGATTTCTCATTGATGTACAGAAAGATACGAGCGAACACTGTCAAGAACGTGAGGTCATGAAGGACACCAACAAAATGTTCTTAATTAAAAGAACTATTCAGGAATGCTCCCAAAAATGTAGTCGATGACAATAATACACCATACTAAGATGACGTTGGCCATGAGGATGCAAAAATTTACATTTTCAGCATTAGCCCATGCTGTGTGTTTGTGCGTACCCTGGGATTTCATTGGTGGGTGGGGAAGATCCAACTGAGAGCTGGTAAAATAAAAAGAGTACTGAACGCTAGAAGTGAAGCCAAAAGAAAACATAGGCATGCCAATACTAACCAAAGGTTGTGTTGTGCCGTTGTGTTGTTCCCATAACGAATCATACAGGTCACTCCGTGGATCCAAATTCACGTTTTCACTTAAAAAAGAACAAAATAAGTTTGTTAGTCTTATTGGACAGCAAACTCATCTGAAATTTCTCTGTAGAGTCAATGCCATTTGCCAAGGAACTTGGGACGGCGAAACAAATAGCGCTAAAGAGTTGGTTTGAATTTAGCTTTGGCTTGATGAGGAGCATTGGAGGTACAGATGGAGGATGGAAACACACTGCATTATTACTAATAAATCAGCTTCTGTACCCTTTTCTGCACTGTCAATCAACACTGTAGTTTGCCGACAAGCTTTTTTCCTTTACTGCTGGGGAAAGGGTATCTCAGGCCTTCCCGACAGCTTTTAATGTAACTCTCTTCCATGTGCATAAACTTTAATAAGCCATCAGACATGGACACCTGAGTGGCATCAGTGCAATTTGTTCCTGAATCATGTGATTAAGTCCGGTGTGTCTTGGAATGCAGGATTAATTGAAACGAACAGAGTCATTTGCTTTTAAAGTTCATAACGTTTAGCCTTTGTTGCAGATCAAAATGCTCTGTTGCTACTGCAACTTAGTGGCTTTTGTCTGTTGCAGTGGAGGAACGTTAACAGATGCTTTTGTTACAGTTTTACTGTCATTTGAAAAAGGAATAAAAATCTCACCAAAATATACAAATAGTAGCAGGCATAGGTCATTATTACATTTAAACTACAACTTCTCATTAGCTGGGTCAGTGTCTTAGCTTTGATGTGACGTGAACCTGACTTTTTTTCTTTTACCCAATACACTACTTTTAGTAAAAGTACCTTCATTGCTAATTGAGTGAAGCCATGAATGGTCTCCTGGCAAATTAAAGCAGTTAAGATTTCACATGTAGGAATATCAGACTGTGATTCTCCTTCAAAACGTGATCTGAATGTTTCCGTCAATGGAAAGCATGAAGAGTACATTAAATGTGCAAAGTCACCTGTCAAGCACACTGAAACAGCAGTGTTCTGTTTGCTTCATCTATGGAAACGGTGCCCAAACTAAAATACGCTGAAACCTATGTAGATTACAGTTTATACTTTTGCTTTTTACAAATTTGTTTCTGACAATTTTCCTTTGCCATCTTTAAAGAAAAAAAGAAGAACAAAACAAGCATATCAATGGCCACGACTGATATTGACTGTCCCTTACATCTTTTTTTTTTTGTCTAGTGTTTGTCATCCTTCTTCTCTTCCTCTTCAGTGGGGTATGAATGCCAGGTGAGGCGCTCCTCGTAAAAGGAGATGACCACTTGTGGACACTTTGCATTCGCCTCCTTGGCTGGTACTAGATCAGCTTCATCAGAGTTTTTCCTGTAATACAAAAATACAAAAGAAGACATTTACAATTGATCAGCTATTTCTCATCCGAGATGGATTTCTTGAGTAGAGAAAACTGAGGGCAATTGTAACATTTACATTTCCTTCAACTCACAGACAACATAATATATACCAGCCATCTTTTGGTATATGTGCCAAAATAACAGTTCCATTAAGTCTAATATTATTATAATGTAAACATCATAATATTAAAATTCCATGGAGGTGATTGCAAGGGTATGACTACATTTAAAGCATGTGAAGTTGATATGGATCTGGCAATGAAGTTTGGCAACAGGATATGATTTCATCTGTTTATAATAAAGACAAAATCATTCAAAAGCAAGTTTGTGTTCTTAGAATTGAGCCAAGAAATCAATCTGTGATGTTTGGTCCAATGTCTTTTTTACTGTATGAATGTGCAGGTCAGAGTTCACCGAACTTGAACTTTAGTATCCAGAATGAAGATGAAGCTTGCATTTCAACTCTCTCGCGTTCACATGTGTATGAATGTGAGTGAATGGCCACACTTAAATGGGATAGTTCACATTAAAAATGAAAATTCTGTCAATTTACTCAGCATCATGTCATTCCAAACCTGTATGATTTTCTTTTTTCTGCAGGAACACAAAAAAATATAGTCCGAAAATGGTCTCAATGTCTCACAAAACCCCCTTTTGTGTTCCACAGAACATGAAGGTGAGTAAATGATGAAATACCCCTTTAACAGTGAGTGGGGGCAATTGTAATACTTAAAGTAAAAATAAACCATTTTACAGAAATCTAGCAAAAATATAGCAAGTAGTAATGGCAAGGTCATGAGTTCCATTCCTATGGAATGCATAAACTTGTATACCGCATAAACCATGTATACCTTAAATACACTGACTGTTCACTTGCTTGTTTCAGATAAAAGCATCTGCCAAACCTTCATCTAAAACTAGACACACTACCGTTCAAAAGGTTGGGGTCGGTAAGAATTTTTTATGTTTCTAAAAGAAGTCTCTTATGCACTCCAAGGCAGCATTTATTTGATCAAAAATACACATAAAAAACAGTAACATTGTGAAATATTATTACATTTTCTGTTTTATAAATATACATACTTTCAATTTTGTTTTCTATTTGAATTTCTATTCTATTTGAACATTTTACATTTTTATCATATAATTTATTATTTTTAGCATGTGATTTTTTTTCTGTGATGCAAAGCTGAATTTTCAACAGTCATTACTCCAGCGTTCAGTGTCACATGATTTAATATGCTGATTTGGTGCTCAAGAAACATTTCTTCTTATTATCAATATTAGGACGTTTTGAAGAACTGCATTTATTTAAAACAGTAATCGTTTGTAACATTATAAATGTCTTTACTGTCATTTAATTAATCCTTGCTGAATAAAAGTATTCATTTCTTTCAACAAACATAAGCAAATGTTATTGACCCCAAATTTTGAACGATAGTAAAGTAACGTTTCTTACACATTTTAAATATTCACTCTAGTGTTACAAATATCCCCGAAATGTTAACATTTTTCATTCTCGTTAACTTTTAACCAGTTGACAGATATAGTTTCAATTTGAAGGCATCAAAACTTTAAATAGCAAAAGAAAAAAAACAAAGTGATACAATCAAGCTTCTTTTCCTCATGCAGAGCATATGCTAAATAGATGCTCTTTGAAGAAATTTCGAGTGTTACAGGTGCCCCCAGTCTCTCCTAATGCTGCTCAGGAACTGTCGCTCTAATCAATTTCCATACAAACCATTTCATGAGGAACATGAGTTCTCCACTTGAGTCTGTAGCACCAATAATCCTCTCAGGATCCAAACCACGTGCAAAACCTCTGAGTTTCTCAGGCTAAATTAAGAGAGATGGCATGTAAGACACTGTTTAGCCCATTCAATTTTTTGTTGGTTTTCTAATGTTTTAAAGACACTTCCTGGCCAGCTTATAGACATGGAATGATGTAGACATCTCAGATCCTCAGGGCTCTTACCTCATCCTTGCGCTTTTTAGTCTCCTTTCCATCTCCGTCTGACTCTGCCCGCCTCTTGCCTCCAGATTCAGCCGTTTTCTGTGACTGAAGGAATTCTGCAATGAGGTCAGGACAGTCTAGGTTTTCCTCTGGTTCCCAGGTGTTGTCCACGCTGAGGGAAAAAAATAATGAAATAAACACCAGGATTTTCAACACAAAATCAGATTCACAGGAAATCCAATTGCGGCGGCTCACTCAGTAAAGCCTTTCCACTTGAGGAGATACTCCACTCTTCCCTTCACCACGCGCCGATCCAGAACCTTCTCCACAACATACTCCTCTTCTTCTTCCTCCACCACTTCTTCCACTTTCTTTTTGTTTAGTTTCTTCCCTGCTGGTGATTGCTTAGTTTCAGACTGAGAAACTGGAGCTGGAGCTGGATACATGAATGGTGCGTGAAAAATACATAAACATACAAGTTGACCTAAATCATTTACCACAGTTTATGTCAAAATACCAGTTACTACAGATGTTGTTTCCACAACAAAATAGTGGTAACTTGATACCGGCAACTACTGCCATGAAAAATTTAAAGGGACAGTTCACTCAAAAACAAAACTTCAGCCATTTATACACAAAATGTGATGTTGTGCAGAACGTTAGAGGCTGAAAGATTTACTGCATCATTTCCTTTCATTTAACATACAATAAAAATGATCAAGCCTGTCATTCTCCTTAACAACTCATTTTGTGTTCCACAGAAGAACGTAAGCCATACAGTTTTCAAACAGCATGAGGGTGAATAAGTAATGGGCAGTGCTGGGTAGTAACTGATTTTTATGTAATCTGGATTACACAATCAGAATTGCAATTAGATTCATTAAGCTTTAAAAATCTTATAATCAGATAACCAATTACTTTTTTTATAGATTACATGATCACATTTTATTCACACATCACCTTGGCTTAAAATATTTAAATAGTTCCCCAGGGATTAAAAAAATGTATATTTCAATAATTTAACAACACATTTGCATGTTCACACAGTTCTCTGATGTTGGTTAATGGTCACACCAACATGCAGGTAACCAAATATAAAAATATTACTATTTTTAATGTTCAAGTGCCGTTTTTATTTTTAAAGCATTTTATTTTATTTTTTTAAGTTTACATTTATATTATTAAATTAATTATTACTAGCTCACAAATCCCAGTTTGGGAAACAATGATTTTTTAATACACTTTATGTTGTTAATAATAAAGAATTGGAATATATATATTTTTCTTTTTCAACATGGTACAAAATAATCCTATTCAAATCCATGGGATAAACAAGATAGGTCAAAAGTAGTAAGGCTACATTACCTAAAATCTGTAATCTAACAGAATACGTTACTAACTACAACGTCCGGTCATTTGTAACGTGTAACGAATTACAATTTGTAAGTAATCTACCCAGCACTGATAGCGAATGTGTACTATCCCTTTAAGCAAAATGATTATAAACGCGTCTTATATACTCAGATGAAATGTCATATCAATTTATTATGCTTTTAGCAAATAATATCTGTAACTATGGTATTTTGACGAATTTGGTTTGTTTCCATTGTAAACTAATAAAAAAATCCAAACCTTCAGTCACAGCAGCATCGGCTGAAGGCTCTGACATTTGGCTCATATTTCCAAGGGCTCTTAACAGCTGGAAATATATAGAGAGATCCTTATAAATACGGATAAAACAAATAAAAATATTTTCTATGAGAATACAGCCTATCGATCACAAATATTACGTAAGCACACTACACTCATCATTTCATCTGAACGTGTGTTGGTTTACCTAAGGGATGCAGCTGTACACATCTGCATGCATCATATGACAAACACTGGGACCGTCCGTTATGCATTTGCGACTGAAGGCCAGCGCGCGCGACAAAACCCATTGTGAATAAATACATTGCATGCTTCACTGCTGTGCTCGATGGGATGGATAGGCCACTGTTTTACTGTATTTTTTGTTCCTCCATGTTGTTTTGGAGTGCGCAAGCATGCTATTCGAAGCCTGCTGTGGTCCAAACATTTAGCATCTTTGCCGCAGCACGTTTGATCGCTGCGATTTTACCACAACAAACACTATGTGCATGAGCCCGAACAACGGCGGCACGGCGAAACAAACGCACTTACTTCTATCTCGCTGAGATAAAGATGAAATAAAGCTGATCTGCATGTATTTAGATCCGAAATGAATAGGTTGCAGTGATTAATTACAGACGTCTGCTGTGATGCTGCTGAATGTGGCTGTTATTCACGCCCACTTCCGTATTAGAAAAGGAGACTTATGGTGACTTCCGGTGTAATCTCCAATGCATATCCATAGTTGCTTTAACCATAAAAGTGGATTTGCTTTATTAGATCTTTTGGAGGATGGAATTATGGCTGGTATTGAACAATACTAGCTGTACAGCCTAATATCTACTACTTTCTCCATTGAAATCCTCCTCTCCTCTTATTCCTTTCTTTCCCATGTTGCTTCAACGAAGCAGATGTTTGAGGCATCTAGCTGAGATGCAGCATCTGTGCAGCGTTTGCAGATATTCTAGCTTCCTTTCATGCATTTCAGAAGTGAATTTGTGAAAATGTGGGCTTCACACTTAAAACAGCCTTACCATTTACACATGCTGCATAAAAGCCATACTAAAATATGCGGATCTGATGCTGCTTTGCTTCTGTGTGAATGATGCAGTACTCGTTGTCAATATCATGGGATATCCATAATTTCTGTATGTATGCCTAAATACACTTTTACGTGGTAGCCATATATATTTAGCTTCCGTGTAGTCTTTGTAGAGATAAGATGATATGTCACAAGCAAATAAATAAATAAATATGTCCAGGCCAGGAGTCTACTGGTTTACTCTGTTAATCAAAAAAAAAGGGGGGGGGGGGGGGGACGTTTTATTGGCGAACTATAAAGAGACGATGTTATGTAGGCTGTTTCAAGCCCATAGAAGTGAGTGTGGTGCCCATGGAAACGACGGTCAAGTCAGCATAGTGACAGAATAACCAATGAGAGAATAAAAAGCACACCCTTAGAAAGGACCCAATCTGTTCATCCCTTCAGAAGACTGGCTTTGCACTTTGATTAGTATATATTGCCGCTGTTTACATCCATTATTTTTCAATCCAATTACTAATATTTTATTTAGTATGTTTCCTCCAGCTGTTGTTGATTTTATATTAGTTGTTTAGCAATAGTGCTGTTCGGTTTGTTTGTATTTTCAATCTGTGGGTTCCCATGGAGATTATATGTCTAAATTTCATGTTTATGAAACTTTCAAATCTAACCAGTACAAAATACCATAGTAATGAACAATTATGATTCAGTTTACAGCGCTTTCATTAACTGAATAAAAACATAGCAAACACACCCAATGTGCATCTTTATGCAGCATTTTATAAGTATAGAGTTTTTAAAAATCTTGTCGAGTCTTATGTAGCATCACCATCTTGCTTCGACCAAAGCGATTTGAAAGCACCTGGCATCGTAATTATAACTTAGCAACTCGTAAATATGAACTTCCAAGGAGGACTTTAATGTACCATATGTAGTATTCAGCTGGTCATGGGATCTCAGCATGTTGGACCCCATGAGGCAACCTACTTTATGTAAAATAAAACAGCTTTTATTAGTCTACTTTTATGATTGGAGTCTGATTACATTTTTTTAAATTACTGTTCATTTTTGTTATATGTAAAACCATTTTGTTTTATATCTGTTGCCACATCTTGTTAAATTTCTTTTGGTAAAGCCAGAACAGCATGAACAATAGGTTGTGCCAGTACCCGCTCCATCCTATAGGTGGCAGTGATGAATGACGACAGTACAGCAGCTGTCATTTACAAGGCAGAGAACGAGAAGTGCGAGTCGACGAAGGTGTTGTTGACATTTCTCGGGAGCTCTATAAAGGTTTTCAACAGTGCTATGGCAGCATTATCGGTAGCTTCAAATGCATGTTTTCAGCCGGACAGTTGAAAACACTGAACCGCCAGATTACTGTGCACCTCGGTTGATTTTGTGGAAGTGGCTGTGAGTACACTTTCGGTTTTTCTGGGTTGGGACAAGACAGCACACGAGGTCATTGATCGCAACAACTCGTTTCTCAGAACAGTTAGACTGTTTTCAGTTATTGCTACCATTTGCTGTTATTTCATGTATGTGGGTATTACGCTGATTTTTTAATAATGTACTTTGAGAGGGGTACACATTTGTCCACTGTAGTCCAGCATGTTTTTAGGGTTGTAATGAAAACAAATGGCAACTAGCAAAGCATATGTCCGTTATAACAATTATTTTACGACATGTATTACGAACTTGTAAAATAACATGCTATAATAATTTACTATCTCTCCCTGAAAATATTGCTGATTGTATCCGTATCTGAACCATACACACCCCCCAACCACACATGCACGTACACACGTCCTTTTTGTGTACGTGCAGCTTACCACATGTCCATTTTGCTCTAATTCCACAAAATATAGACAGTGGAGATACAAATAAGTCTTAGAAGTATGCACAATATTATTATTTTTATCAGTTTTATTTTTGTAATATTTATATACATAGGAAGATATTCTTGTTAAAACAGTCTTATTTTTTATTTTATATATATATATATATATATATATATATATATATATATATATATAAATTGTATTTTTGAATTTTTTGTGCAATCAAGATTTCTAATACAGAAGAAGCAAACATGAATACATTCTCTTTACTCGTTCAAAGTAAATAAATGTGTCTGGTTTAGGTTATCAGTATGACTCGCGATATCATTGTTGGAGATGAGCTGCCCGACTGGGTCGGGGCAAAAGAGTTTTATCAGAAGTATGATCCCAAAGAGGTGATTGGAAGGTGAGTATTTATATATATTTTTTGATTCAGCAAGTGTTTTGATGTGCTTTATTGAGATGTCTTGTAACTGAACTGTCCCCTGTGCAGAGGTGTGAGCAGTGTGGTGCGCAGATGTGTACTTAAACACACGGGGCAGGAGTTTGCGGTGAAGATCATTGAGATCACTGCAGAGAAAATGACAGAACAGCAGTTAGAGGAGGTGAAAAGTTCTACACTGAAGGAGATCCATGTGCTCAATGTGGTGAAGGGCCACCCGTCCATCAGTGAGTCTGAATTTTACTGCTAATGTTTGAACATCAGTTGAAACCTTTCTGAGTAGTAACTGACCTTATTTGTGCTCATTTTTCAGTTACACTTATTGATTCTTATGAGTCAACAACCTTCATATTTTTGGTATTTGACCTGTAAGTATATATATTATATTATGTTATATTGTTATACGCTACCTTTGAAAAGTTTGGGGTCAGTAAGATTTTTATTTTTTATTTTTTTTTGAAGGAAATTGATCATTTTATTCTGAAAGGATGCATTAAATTGCTAAAAATAGACAATTATAATTAATAATATAATTAATTAATATTATAATTATTATAATAATATTAAATATATATATATTATTAAATAATAAGATTGTAATTATTAATTATATTATTTTATAATTATATTATATATTTATAATTATAATAATATTATATATTTATTTGTATTTAAAATAAATGTTGATCTTTATTGTTTATTAATCAAAGAATCCTGAAAAAAAATTATCATGTTTTCTTCAAACATTTCAACATTGATAATAATAAAAAATCTTACTTGAGCAGCAAATCAGAATATTAGAATGCTTTCTGAAGGAGCATGTGACACTGAAGACTGGAGTAATGGCTGCTGAAAATTCAGCTTTGCATCACAGGAATAAATTACATTTTAAAATATATTAAACTAGAAAACAGTTCTTTTAAATTGTAATAATATTTAACTTAATGTTTTTACTGTATTTTTGACCAAATAACTGCAGCTTTGGTGAGCATAAGAGACTTATTTTACTTTAACGTATCTTAGCGACCCCCAACTTTTAATCAGTACTTTATATGTTGTAATTTCACACACAACTTTTTGTACAGCATGAGGAGAGGAGAGCTATTTGATTACTTGACTGAAAAAGTGACTCTCAGTGAAAAGGAAACCAGGTGAGTTTTCAATTTATTCTCAGATCTTGCTTTAAGTTTCTATTGTAGCAAATTGTTCTCCCCATACCATTATTGGCCGCAAATATTTCCTGCAAATCTCTTCTCACTTTTAGGAGTATGATGCGTGCTCTTCTGGAGGCTGTCCAGTATCTACACTCACTAAATATTGTACATCGTGACCTCAAACCTGAAAATATTCTACTAGACGACCAGGGACACATTAAACTTTCTGACTTTGGCTTTTCAGTCCAGCTGGGGCGTGATGAAAAACTAAGAGGTGAAAAAAATCAACCCTGTCCTTCCACAGTGCCAAATCAAAGCAGATTTTCAGATATTTTTTAATTAAAAACATACATTGTTTGTAACACTGGTCTTTTTCAATTTCCCTTGTTAGAGTTGTGTGGAACACCAGGATATCTGGCACCAGAGATTCTGAAGTGCTCCATGGATGAGACACACGAGGGATATGGGAAAGAGGTTGACCTGTGAGTAAATAAGCTGAGCTTTGCTATTAAACCTTATTAAACCTTTCTTTGTGTCACAAAGTTGGTTCATCGTTTTGCTCCATGTTTTCCCACAGGTGGGCTTGTGGTGTGATCATGTTCACCCTTCTTGCTGGGTCTCCACCATTCTGGCATCGTAAACAGCTGCTGATGCTGAGAGTGATCATGGAAGGCCGGTACCAGTTTAGCTCTCCAGAGTGGGATGACCGGTCTGACACCGTCAAAGACTTGGTGAGATTCTCTTAGCATTCTCTCAGCCTATAGCATATACAGGCTAACTGCTAATATTAAGAAATGTACCCATATGTGTATTCCCTTAGATCTCAAGGCTTTTAGTGGTGGAACCCACTCTTCGCCTCACGGCCGAGCAAGCTTTAGCTCATCCTTTCTTCCGTCAGTACCAAAAGGAGGAAGTGCGGCTCTTTAGCCCAAGGAAGACATTTAAGGTGTGTGTGTGTGTGTGCGCTCGCGTTTTTGTGACATATGAGGACACAAATTTGTATAATGACATTGGGATTACAAGGAGAAGGTGACTTATTACCCCATGCCCCATTTTTCAAAACGCTTATAAATCATACAGAGTGAGTTTTGAGAAAAGTAAAAATGCACAAAGTTTCCTGTAAGGGGTAGGGTTCGGTGTAGGGTTGGTGTAGGGCAATAGCACATACAGTTTGTACAGTATAAAAACCATTACGCCTATGGAATGTCCCCACAATTCACAAAAACAAACCTGTGTGTGTGTGTGTGCGTGTCTGTTAGTGTGTATGTGTGTGTGTGTGTGTGTGTGTTTTATTTATACACACTGCCCTTCAAAAGTTTGGGTTTGTGGATTCTGTGCTCAAGAAACATTTTTTATTTTTATTACCAATGTTGAAAAATATATTTTTGTGAATTAAAAAATGAATACAAAGTTTAAAAGAACAAACATTTGTTTGAAATAGAAATCTTTTGTAACATTCTAAATGTCTTTACTGTTACTTTTGAACAATTTAATGCACTTTTGCTGAATAAAAGTATTAATTTCTTTAAATAAAATAAATCATACTGACCCCAAACCTTTTGATGATGTGTATGTTTAATGACAGGTTATTATTCTAAAGTGTTACCAAATAATTTCCACTTGTCTTTACAGGTTTTTCTAAATTACTGAAAAAAATGATTTTGAAAAATGAAAAACCAGTTCTTTGCATTTTCAGGCCCTGATCTTGACCGTACTAGCTTGTATACGAATGCAGTGCCGCTACTACCGAGCCAGACCATTAACAAAGGAGCTCCTAGCAAGAGACCCTTATTCCATCCGCGGTGTGCGCAAGCTGATCGATGGCTGTGCTTTCCGCATATATGGACACTGGGTCAAGAAAGGGGAGCAACAGAACCGAGCTGCTCTATTCCAGAACACAGCTAAAATCATTCTACTGGGCCTTGAAGACCTTGAAAACTAAAGGTCATATGTTTGTTTCTGAAGATATTCCTCGTCTGTCTATTTACAGTTGTATTGTTTTTGTCTTTCTTTTTTTTAAGTTAGGGACTGATAGCCTGCCTGTCCAAAAGATGCACACAAAACAAATAGTTATAGATTATCTTTCAAAGAGAGATGGTGCTTTTTGATTTTAACAACATGCTATGTGACCTCATTTTAACCACTCACTGTGGATTTTATGTTTTTAAAATTTAAGTTTTATCACAAACATATTGGTGGTATCATCTGATATTGCTTATTATATGGACCAGCTTGATATGAAGTATAAATTATTCAGATTTACAATTACCTAACGGAGCTTGTCTCCTGTTCAGGCTCTCTAGCCTTTGATTGTTTTTGACACAAAGCAGATTGTATTTGAATTTATTATCATTCTTATGCTTCGAAAACAATTCCAGGATGTTGAAGACTAAACCATAAATGGACAAGGAACATTTAACAATTTGGAGTGGACTTTAAGACTTTCAATACAAAGGATAACATACTTGAAACATAGCATTACAGTTGTGTAACCCTACTGAGAGTTGTTTTGAAATCCATACAAAATTGTGTGTACAGGTTTTATTCATTTTTATTTTTGAAACATGTTTTACCACCTTGTTGCTTTTTATCACAGTTGACTAGACATTATCCATTCATCATGAAGGTACTGTACTAATTCTGAACAGGTACACGTATATGAATAATATATGCAATTACTGTATTTTGTGTGTTTTTGCTTTTGAAATGAGTGGTTTCCAAAAGTAAAGACGTGGGGCATATTTTCTTACTTCTTAACTTTTATGTTGGTCTCCAGTTTACTAATGGCATCATTAAGTTGATCAGCACTGTCCTGGAGCCGTTGCTGTAGCTGAGAGGTCAAACGCATCACTTCATCCCTTACTTCCTTTTGAACTATGGTTCTAAGCTCAGAATTTAGAGAAGACCCTTGTGGAAAAAAACATTATACAGTTATTTTATTTGTTGTATGTAGCGAGTATTACATATTAGCGCATGCAGTCTGGCATAAATAATATGTAATCAATGTTTTAAAAATCTGGTCCACTTGTCTTTACAGGTTTTCTAAATTACTAAAATAAATTCTAAATAAAAAAAAAATAATAAAACTTTTTTTTTTTGCCTGAATGTCTTTGTGTTTTGTCGACAATAACATTCATCTATAATTTGACTCCACTCATTTTATTGAAATGTTCTATTTGTAATTATTTTATATATTAAATTCTCTCCCTGTTAGATGTTTTAAAAACAAAAAAATATATAAAAAAAAAACTAAATGATTACATATTTCTTTTATAATCATTTGTCAAACAGGAGTTGAAATGGATGATCTTATACATTGATTTGTACTAACCAATATAGATCTTTAGAGCTGATGGCTTGTGCATGCGTGCTAGTTTGTTTTTGGAGCTGTCATATTTACGTAAAGAATTCGATTAAACCTTTTGACAAGCTGTAATATATTAAGTACCTTGTCTGGGACTCTCTGTCTCTGTGGTCTTCATTTCTAGTGCAGCACTTTGTTGAACTTCTCCATCCTCTTCTGTCTCCCTCTCAGTTTGTCTTTCACCATCTGCAACACTTTCTTTGAACAACAATTGTATATGGTTTCAGTTCTCAGTTGTATGCTAAATATATATTTTATTTTATCAGGTGTGCATTACTGTACCAGATTTGGAAGTTTCCTCTACATTTGTGTTCTCAAGTATTCCAATATATGACAAGGATATATCCAACTGTACCTTTACCATGTAAGAGAAAGAAGTCATAAAGTTAACAACATTCCTGTTAACATAAATTAGAAATTAATAATTATATTGCATACAGTATTTGGCCTGACCAATTCAAAGCCTCATACATACCTCTGGGGTAAAAATGCATTTGTATAAAAAATAATGTCTCATATATGTGTTGATGAAATAGAACAAAATTAGTGTCACTTGCTCCGAGCTGAAAAGGTCAATACTGAAAGGAGGCCTCTGTGTTTAATGGGGGAAAGAACAAAAAGAGGATTGAGTACAAAACCTTTTGCTATGTGTGGTTTCTAAAACTTATGTCTAAGCAGATATTAGATCTACACTACTGTTCAAAAGTTTGGGGTTTGTACAATTTTTTTAATGTTCCTGAAAGACGTGTTCCTTTCATGCTTTTGTTTGTTTTAAAATACAGTAAAAACAGCAATATTGTGAAATACTATTACAATAAAAAATGTATGCCATATGATGGCAAAACTGAATTTTACGTCAGTCTTCAGTGTCACATGATCTTTTATATATATATATATATATATATATATATATATATATATATATTATTATTATTCTAAAATTCTGATTTGGTGCCCAAAAAACATTTCTTATTATTATTGATGATAAAAATGGTTGTTTGGCTTAATATATTTAACATATTTTATCTAATAATATGTTTATATTTAACATTTATTGATGAATAGAAAGAACAGTGTTTATTTGAAACAAATTTTTGTGTAACATTATAAACATATTTGATCAATTTGATCAAAATGTGTCCTTGCTGAATAGATGTATTAGTGTCTTGTAAACAAAATCTTACTGACCCCAGATTTTTGAACAGTAGTGTATGTACATACCCTGACTGAATGGCAAAGCAGAAGTTCACTGCAATAGGTCATACAGTGATCTGTGTTATTGAGGGGTGTTTCTGAAAAGTTGACAAGAAAGAATGTTTATATTTTCTTGTATAAAATTATATCGATACGGTTAACTCTTTATTAACACGAGTACTATGGGTGCATCACCTGTGTTAAACTGATGTACAGTTTTGATAATGGAGATGAGTACAGACGTCTGTTCCCTGTTAAAATGTTGCTCTTTGCAGAACAGCACTAGATTGGTGTACAACTCAAGTAGTACTCTCTGCTTTGGCTGAGCCGCATCAGAGGCCAATAATGCACGGCACAAAATCCTAGAGAAGAAGCAGACTGCATTCATGTAATACCAGCAATGTCCTCAACATCATGCATCAATTATTATTAGAGCCATTCCACAGCACCTTTTCATCTTTGTAAATATGATTAAATTAATGTGCTTGTTATGTATTTCAGGGTCGCATTGCTATAAAAGGGTCTAACAGATTTTTAGAAATGTGTTTTGGTCTAGCTTAGACATTTAAACTAATTCATTATAATTTGGTTATTTACTCAGTTGCAGGGAAATTAGCAGGTTGCTTAATAATATAAAAATAAAGAGTTAAAGTTGTATTAACCCACTGCTTAGTAAGGGATTGAAAGGTTTAAAGAGGGTGTCTGTGTTTAATTGTTGAACTGTGCTGACTTTCTCAGACCACATTGCTAAAACTGCCCGGTCCTGCAGATTTGCTTTATACAACATTAGAAAGATCAGGTCCTTTCTTTCAGAACATGCAACACAACTCCTTGTTCAAGCTCTTGTTCTATCCAGGCTGGACTATTGCAATGCTCTCTTGGCAGGTCTTCCAGCCACTTCTATCAAACCTCTACAACTAATCAAAAATGCTGCTACAAGATTAATCTTTAATGAGCCGAAAAGAACACGTCACACCTCTGTTCATCAATTTGCACTGGCTACCAGTAGCTGCTCGCATTAAACTCAAGGCATTAATGTTTGCCTACAAAACCACCACTGGCTCTGCACCCCTTTACCTAAATTCATTACTTCAGAGTTATGTGCCCTCTAGAAGCTTGCATTCTGCAAGTGAACGGCGTATTATTCTGCCATCTCAAAGAGGCACTTTCACAGACTTTTTCACTAACTGTTCCCTCCTGGTGGAATGACCTGCCCAACTCAATCCGAGGAGCTGAGTCCTTAACCATCTTCAAGAAACGACTAAAAACACATCTGTTCCACCTTTATTTGACCCTCTAACTCTAACACATTCTATTCTATTATAATTCTACTTTATCTATATTTATCTTTTGAATTTTTTTGTTCTTTATTTAAAAAACAACAACAACAAACAAACACTAGCTTTCTATTTTTTTCTATTCTATCTACTTGTTTTTCTTTGTGTGTGTATATGTGTGTGTGTGTATAATATATATATATATATATATACAGTGGGTACGTGTACTGCGTTAGGCTAACTGAGACTATATACACCTTGCTACGTGTACTGTGTTAGGCTAACTGAGACTTGTCATTTGGACTTATATATTGTTGCTCTTTTGTTAGTTTTGACTGCTTTTATTGTCCTCATTGGTAAGTCGCTTTGGATAAAAGCGTCTGCTAAATGAGTAAATGTAAATGTAATGTATTATATAGCATGATAGACTATTTAAAACTAACAAATTAGGATGGAATGTTTAAAATAATAATAACACAAATACTCATTTAATATACCTTTGTTAGGCAACATAAAGTTTACAATATAAAGGTAAACCTTTCGATCTCTGGTATGGAATTACTCTTCTCAATCTCTTCCATATCACTGTTTTTCAGATCTGTCCTAGAAAGGCAATCAACAAGAGTTTAAGGGTATTTGTGTCTGAATATGTTCAAACTGAACTGGATTTGGTTTGGGACCTACCATAACAGCACCCGTGCCTTTGGAGGCTGGGGAACCTAAAAAGAATTAACAAAAAAGGATCAAATATTCTTGAAATGACTGAATCACTGATCTCTAGATGTATAGCGTTTACCCTAATATTCCCGAATGGCTTCATTTCTCTCCCTGGCTGTCTCTGAAAATGACTCTATAAAATATTGATCTAAACCACCTGTATGTGTTGCATCGTATCCTAGCAACTGATTGTTTTTTCTTTTCTGATGAAAACTTTTTTTTATTTTATTAAATTAAACGATAAAAAATAGAAATAAAATGTAATTATTGTATTTATTACATTTGTTTTCTACGAATCAAGGAATAAATTAATTTGAAAGAAAACGTTTGAGAACTTTTATTTTCACCCTGCGATTTAGGGGAAGTGACGTAATGCATCAGACCAGCACGAAAGAGTGCACAACAATCAAGTTATTCAAATCGCTCAATCGAGCAAATACATCTGTGATTACAACAAATGTCCAAAAAGGTATGAGTGCTACAAACAAAAACGTTTCAACCATAGACTGTATAAAAACAAGGTCTATACACGCTCACTTTTATTTTGACAGACAATACTTTTTCCTGTAGTGTCAGTGTTCACGCATTCTACTGTTCTTCCTGTTTTCCGGCAGAAGTGGAGGTTTGTTTGTGGGTGCAAAGAAAATCACTAAAACAAACATTTTAATACACATTTGTAACAGTGAGGTTGCTAAAACGTTGTCGTATTGCTTATGACATATAGTTATAACGCACTGTAATTTGTACTATAAAAAGGCCTATGCTTTGACGGTTGTAGCTCGCTTGCTATGCTTTACCTAGCATTGAAGCTAACCTCACTTAAAGCGCCATGGTTGCTTGAAATGAATGAAGAAAATAACATTTTATTCTAAAACAAATATGTGATAGGATTCAAATGACTGTTAAAGCGTCTTTTATTGTTGGCTTCATTATTTAAAAAAAAATCAAATAAATAAAAATTAGATCGTCGTCGTTAGCCAGCATTGATATATCAGAAAATCTCAAATTCGTTAAGTGACAGTTGTTTCTGTTTAAATCATATCATTATCGTTCACCATTTAGTTTTGTTAAGGGAGAACAGATTCATATATTGACTATGTAAAGACAATTTTAGGCCACTTCGGTGAATATTATATATGCAAAATCTCTTTACAGCGTCTTGTTTGATAATGTTAGTACTGATAGTCTTACGTAAAGTGATAGTGAATCCCAAAATGAAATGTTCAATCATTTACTCACCCTCATGTTATTCCAAATAACATGCTTTTCTGTTGAACACAAAAGGAAATATTGTGTTTAGAAGTGGCAATGTCAGCCATCATTTACTTTAAACTGAAACTGCATCGTTTTTTCCACACAATGAAATTATTACTGAGGCTGTCATTGTGCCGAACACCTACCTCTGTTTGTGTTCCACAAAAGAGTAAGTCACACAGGTTTGGAACAACAGTAAATGATGACAGTTTTAAAAGGTTTAATAATGCTATCTATCTGCCGATAATTTGTCTGTGATTAAGGTCTTAATGATATAATAGTAATCTGTTTAAAGTTGAGTTTAACACTACGTGAATTTTGTAGGGAAGCATGTCTGCCACAGGGGGTGGGAAGCGCCCCTCAGGAGGGGATAGTCCACCTGACCCTCCTGAAAAAAAGCTGAAGAAAGAGGAGAAGACTACTACTACGCTCATCGAGCCCATCCGCATTGGAGGAGTTTCTTCTACGGTTCGTTTAATGTTGCTATCATGACTTTTTTTCTATCACTTTTGATCAATTTATTGCTGAATAAAAGTATTAATTTCTTTTAAAATCCAATTTTAGAGTCCCCAAACTTGTCAGCGTTAGTATTTCTGTCACAATCTTGAAAACCTTTGTAGACGAGATTGACTTCTCCACATTGTCTGTTGAAGCTTCTGTAATTTTGCCCCATATTGTCTTTTGCAGGAGGAGATGGACATGAAGGTTATTCAGTTCAAGAACAAGAAGCTCTGCGAACGGCTTGAACAGAGGCAGGCTTTGGAGGATGAGTTGAGGGAGAAGATTGAGAAGCTGGAGAAGAGGCAGGCAACTGATGACACCACCCTGCTTATCGTCAACCGCTGCTGGACTCAGGTTCGCCACTATTCTATTGCTTTAGCACATAAAATGAGTAGCAAAACAAGAATATTTGAACTCTCTGTTCTCACAGCTTGAGGAAAATATCCATGATCTGCTCCAACGCGTGGAGCCTAAGGATGCCCCGGCACCAGTCCAGACCCCTGCCACCCCTCCTGTTCCAGACGTCCCTGTTCCTGCTGCAGCCCCATCATCTGCTCCTAAACCTTCTGCTCCTTTGCCAGCTCCAACAGAAGGTGAGGATGGCCTCCCCCAGCCTCCATTTTCAGCTGAGGTGGTGGAAGAAGATAAAAAGCAACAACCAGTGCAAGAAAAGGAACAGACACAGGAGCAAGAGCAGCAACAGCAGCTTCCTGACTCTGAGGAGAAGCTGGCTGATGAAGCAGTGAAGGATGGAATTTCCGGTAAACATGCAAGGAGTTAGACTCCAATACACTATGTGCATATATATCTACAAATATGTAAAAATAAAGCATTTTTAGAATTGTACAAAAGGTTGTTTACATGCTAAAAATTAAACTGTCAGTCAAACAACGAAAGCATGCTGTAGATTGAGTACAACAGGGTTTTATATCATGTTGATATTTATTGTTTTAGTTATCCTATTAACCCTGTAAAGCCTACTGTTTCATATTGATATGCACTTTCAAAACCTGTAAATTATCAACATTATCAAAACTTGTTGAAAAAACAGTTGCACTCTATCTACTGCATGCTTCTGTTGTCTGATTGATAATTTATTCTTCTTTAGCAAATAAAAGGCCTTTTTACAATTCTAAAAATGTCCTCTTTCAGGTCAAGGCAGATGTGTCTTTTTGCTGTGAAATTTGTACTATTTTTTATGAACTAAACATTAGAATAACTTTTATATTGTTAGTAATATTTCAGGATGAAATTAGAATTCCATCTTATCTTTTTATGTCTGCAACAAATTGCATGTTTTTGCTCAGGGTCTCTGAATAAAATTGAGGTGTCTTTTTTTCCTCCTTGACCTTGAGTATGAATTCTTTATCCTCGTATTATCATATTTTATAAGCCATAAAAAATCCTAACGTATCAAATCTGATACTCAAGAAACAACACGTGCAAATTATTTTAGATTTGAAGAAATTATTAGATTTTTCTGATTAGTATTTCACATTTCAGTCTTTACAGCAGGGGTCACCAAACTTAGTCCTAGAGGGCCGGTGTCCTGGAGAGTTTAGCTCCAACCCTAATCAAACACACCTGAACCAGCTAATCAAGGTCTTACTAGGTATGCTTGAAACTTCCAGGCAGGTGTGTTGAGGCAAGTTGGAGCTAAACTCTGCAGGACACCGACCCTCCAGGACAGAGTTTGGTGACTCCTGCTTTGCACGTTTAATAAAGGATCAAAATTGAAATGTAAAACATGAATACATCTTCTGTCTGTTAGCTGCTAGGCCATACAGAACCTGTTCATAGCAGCTTTTACAATTCACATTCATATTGTTTTTGGTCTTTTTTTTTTTTTTTTTTAAAGCCCCTCCACCACCTCTCAGCGAGAGTGCAAAGGCTTTCCTGGCCACTCTGGATAATAGCAGTGAGGAGGAGCTCACACTGCAGCTACAGGACAGGATGCAGTTCAGCAAGGGTGCTGTGGCCTGCTTGGTCTGCATATTTGACCGTCTGCATACCACCATTGATGAGCTGTGTACCCGAGTGCAGTCAGCTGGTAAAATAAGAATGAATTTTGTGTGATTCTCGAAGCACAAACTGTTTATTATAGAAAAAAGCATCTCTAAAAGTTTTAGTTTGATCACTGTCTGAACAAACACTACACTAAACTTTTGCACTTTGTTCTTATCAGTTTGTGAGGATGACAGTCAGCGAGAGACACAAACCACAAACCGCACACTTCTAGAGGAACATAATCGACTGCAAGATCTTGCTTACTCCCTTCAAGGGAAACACCACAAAATGTCATTGGAGGTATCTGTTTACCTAGTTTTGTTTGACCTTATTCTATTTATATTTATTAAATGTTACACTACCGTTCAAACGTTTGGGATCAGTGTTTTAAAGAAATTAAAAGGTTTCGGCAAGGACACATTAAATGGATTAAAAGTAAAGGCTTTGTTACAGTAACATTCTGTTTCAAATAAGTGGTGTTTTTGTTTCAACTTTCTATTCATCAAAGAATTCACAAAAAAAAAATGTATCATGGTTTTCATAAAAATATTGCACCGTACTACTCAGCATTGAATCATACTAAGAAATGTTTATTTGAATATTTGAATGACTTGTGAACGATCATGTGACTCTAAGGACTGGAGTAATTGCTTGGTGAGCATATGATACTTTTAAAATCATTAAAAAACCTTACCAATCCCAAACATTTGAATGGGAGTGTATATAAAAACCTTTTTTTAAGCATCAGTATAAAACGGCCTATCACAGTTTGAAAGATGTGTATCTTGTACCCTGAGCTGTCCTTAAGACCAGTCTTTGCTTCCACAGTATAATGAACTGATTGACAAAGTTACAAGTTCAGAGACTAAAGTGTCTGAGATGGAAACAGCTGTGGAGGATCTGCAGTGGGACATTGAAAAACTTCGTAAGAGAGAGCAGAAGCTGAATAAACACCTAGCAGAAGCTCTGGAGCAGGTCAGCTTTTCCTTCGTCTCAGAAATAAAACATATATTTTCAGTTTTCATGCAATGTATTTCTTTTGCAATTCATCATCATCATAGTAATTATGTGTTGTTTGCATGTCTATCAGTACTTCCTTTTAAGAAAGGAAATTGTACTGCAGGATTTTATACTACAAATATTGTAATTTACTGTAGACACAGTGAACCAGAGAAACATACAGGCAAAACATACAGTAATTTGATACAATATTATAATGCAGTGATGTTAATCTGTTTGTGGTTTGAATATGGGGAGTATTAATAATTTTTTTAATGTATTTTTTTGTGTTGATTTCTTTAATGTGTATTCATTTTTTCCGCCCAAATCAGCTTAATACCGGTTACCATGCCACTGGCAGTTCA